ATTGTGGCTCAGAGAGCTCATTTATATTTCTTTTATAAAATTTTTTTCAAATACAATATACAATCATATTTGATTTGAGCTCACACATATATCGATATACATGGTAGACTGGATCATGTAATTTTTTCCTTTTATAGATTATTTAGCTTAAAAAAAGATTTATTGGCAATGGACTGCAATAAATTATCAGCTTCTAGTTGTTCCAGAGTAAGAGGTACTACAGGTTTTGAAAACTATGTTATTCTCATAAACAACTGAGACAGGATTTGGATAATCAGCAAGCATAAAATATAAAAAGAAATTAAATAGCATTATATGAATTTGGATCTGTTCTTAACTTATTCAATTATTTTACTTTAGTTTTTCACAGAAATCACACTGGTAACCTAAATCCAGCCAATGCCCCAGTCTGTACAGTACCTACTAACCTTCTCATTATCAGATTTTCACTATATTTAATTTCTAAAATGACTAATATGCTCCACACTGAAGAAAACATGCAATTTACTCTCATGTTCTTCTAGAGTAGCCCTCAGCGAAAAATTCACACATAAATTCTTCAAACTCGCCCAGAGCACATCAATGCTATGGACAATTACCACACAGGCAATCAATTAATAGCCTTCAAAATGGATTTTCATAAAGTGTAATTCATATATTAATGGAGCTGTGCTAGTAGTGACTAACATTAAAAGGGGTTCCTAGAAAAATTTGTTATACATATATATGTATATGTATATATATATATGTATTTATAACATTTTGTACATGCAGAAAAAATTATATCTAAGTTTCATATGATAGTTCACTACCATTTACTAAAGCCTAATTCCATATTTATCTAGTCAAAATTGTGGAATTATTTAAACCCAAAGTCAAATTCACTTTCTTTTCCTACCATTTTGATCTATATAGTTCATTTGCTAAATATTTCCATATGTGTCTATATGTATACATGTTTGTACACATGTATGTATATTTAAGTCAACCATATATTATTAAATACTATAACATGCTAAATTTTATCTTACAATCATGCATTTATTTTTAATTATTACTATATCTGACATGTGTCCAATGTCTATGACCATCTCAATCTCTCTATGTAGCCAAGGATTACCCTGAGTTTCTAATTTTTGTGCCTTTCTTCCTGCATATGGGGACTACTGGTATGTACCACCAGTCCTCTTTTACATGGTGTTTTAGATCAGATGCAGAACTTCATGAATTTTACCCAAGGACTCCACAAACTGAGTTACAATTACAGCCTCTATAGTCATACATTATTAATAGACTGAAGCTTTGAGAGACAAAAGATGGCTACATGAAAATGGTTTGAATTCATTTGTGAAATAAATATCACCTGTGTTATCATATGTCCCTTAGTTCTATGTTCCTTTGTGTATAACTCATCTTTCTTTTGTCTTTCAAAGTTTCAGCAAAATTGATCTTTCACTATTTCCATAAGATCTTGTTTTCTTTCTTGACTTTGGACCTTCACATTCTATTTTCTTTGCCTTGGAATTCAGTTTCTTCTGATTTTCATAGAGTTGGGGTTCCTTATAGTCACTTAGAGCTCAAATCACACAATGTCTTAGACTTTCCTAATGTATTTATTCATAATTTTACATTTATCTTTATCACCTATATTTCTATTTCTATTAACTTTCAATTGTACTTATTCATTTACTTGCTTATTATTTGTTTGTTTTATCTTTTTCTGAATTATACCTCCACGATTACAGCAACTCTGGATTTTCTATGCACTGATCAATCCCGAATGCCTGCTCAATTCTTTACATGCAAGTGATTACCCCCAAATTCTGAATTCATGAATAAAATTCACTAAAATGTTAATAATGTTTTATGGCAATATTCAAGATTAGAAAAAATAAGAATGGCCCTTAAAAATACCATTTATTTGTTTAGGAAAATGGCAGGAGTAAATTCTCTTTTATGGGCCATTAACCCATCAGTCACCTAAAGTAGTTGCAGGGATGAAAAATAATGTGGAAATTATATAAATTAATGTGCATATAGGAAACTGAACACATCAAAATAAAATATAGCAAAAACTAAGATGATTTATAAGCAAGTGTGGTAGTATCTACTGAAAATTAAATATCATTTCAAATTGCAACCCCCATAGCATGTTTGAGATGTTAACTGGATCCCTTATATTCCTTCCTGTGTTTCTAGTATAAATAATATAAAAACAGATTGTAGGGAATGTAGGTCAGAGAAGGAAATTTCCATAAGCTCTCTCCAGTTTTCCAAATTTTATTGATTGGCATTACCCTATTGTTGAAACCGCCAAATTTACACCGCATATTTCTTTCTTTAATTTTCCATCTACCTAGGGTAATTTTGATGCTATAGTTACTGGTTTCAGTAAAGGTCATTGCACAGAGTACTTTGAAATATGACCTTCAATTTGCTAATAAATATTATCTTTTCTACCTGATTTTCATTAAAGAAAGCACTAACATTTACCAAATGTAAAATAAAAACACATGAGTGACATAGGAGTAGTAATATAAAGAGTAGTTTCTTAAATACTGAATTTGATAATAATTTATACCCAACTTTTTCAGTTAAAATAGCTACTCTGTAAATCAGTGCTGTATAATGGACTACTTATTTCTTAATGGTCATAAATACTAATCAACTGTTGTTTTCTAGGTAGCATTCAGCTTTTTTGTATTTTTTATGAAAATACATATAAATGGCTAACAGCAAAATGTGAACAGATGAAAAGCAATGGCACAGGTGATAAGGGTCATACTGTAAAAACTGTTGTGCTGTCCCTAAAGTTCTAGTGATGGTGAACAATAGAACATTGGCACTTTGATTGAGATTTCTATGTGTAGTCTTTGAACTCAAAGATTAAAAGTCTCTGTCACTGCTTTTGTCCTTGTCTCTTTTTCATTCTCTGTATCTGTGATGTTTTTCCTTTATGTCTACCTTGGTCACCCTCTCTTGCTGTCTTTTTGCCTTTGTATTTGTCTTTCTCTCTATTTCTTTGTCTTTCTGGCTTTCTCTTATTCATTTATTTATTTATTTATTCATTCTTTCTTTTTATGCCTTTAATTTTTCTTCCTTTCTTTCTCACACACTTTCTGCTTATATTTTAATCTTTAAGATACAATAGTTCTTTATGTATAAAAATATAAAAGTCAATTATTTTTGCCAATGTATCTACCAACCCTCTCCCAAAATGTATGGTGTTTCTCAACCAGCTGACTGATAAGGACCAATCAATTTAAAATATCCTCTGATCAAGATGTGCAGCAAGAAATTTTCTATAGCATTGTAAATATTTCTCAGATTTTCCCCATAACTATTTTTCAGTTTCCGTCATAGTTTTGAAGACATGTACAGAAGCTAATAGTGTGATTATCTCTGAGAAAGAAAACAAATTTGTGCTATGTTGTGCTACTAACACTGCAACCTCTGCTATACTATTTCTAATTCAGTTTAAATCTGAGTGAGAAAATTATCTTGGAAATATAGGATGGAAATGTTCCCTATGTAGGCAGAAAGGAAATAAGTACACTGGAATAGAAAAAAAATTGAGTCATCCAACTTTCTTAATTCCATGCCCTTTGAGACAAGAATTTTACATGTATTTCAAAAGAGTAGTCAAGAGGTCATACTGCTTTTTGTTTTTTTTATAAAGCGGATAGTTTGTTGCATCAGCAACCAAGGTAATATGATTACACTGTTTTAGTTAAAGAGAAAAACTATTTTAAGTAAAAAATGATTATAGAAGATGACTTTCTGACAGTTTTCTCCAATTCTGGAGAAAACATCCTTCTTAAGTACTCTAATGAATAAAAGGAAAATACATGATGAGTAATTATTTATCATGCAGCATATGCAGAGAAATAACAAAAAAGTTTAGCAAAAGTACTCCAACTAATGGCAAGGACATGAAAACACGATTATGAGTAAAACATCTACTGAATGGTAAACATAAACTAAACTGAAAGATTAATGTCATAGCCAACTGCCTACTGAGAAGTAACTTTTGCTAAGTTATATTTAAAAAAAAAAAAACAGGCAGACACATTCACAGAGCACACACTTCCTGGCAGTACCATACTAACAGAAATTGCTTCTTTTCCTGGTATATTATTTAGCTTTCTTACTTCTTTGAGAAAATATGTGACTAAAACAACTTAAATGAGAAATTATTTTTTTTCATGATTTTCTGCATTTTTTTCTATCATGGCACAGGAAACATTAAAATGACTAATATAATGGTGATCAATAAGTAGAGTTAATGAAGAAAAACTTTGATGAGAGGTCCTAAAGATACCCTCTCAACCATGAAGTACTTCTTGAAGGTAATTCCTCTTCCTAAAGTTTCTAGAACCACTGAAGTGGCATTATCAGCTGGAAATCAACTCTTCAGTATAAATTCTTAAGGGAATGATGGTATATTCAATTTACAAACACACAAAATAGAAAAGTCTTATGTGTTCAAGTACAATCTGGCATTGTGCTGTAATTGTGGTCAAATCAACACATCAATAAGGTCAAGTATCAGAAGAATACAGTTTTTTTTGAAGATTTTTTTTATTGGTTATTTTATTTATTTATTTATTTATTTACAGTTCAAATGTGTTGGGAGCTGACTCTTAGCTGAAAACAGCTATCATCTTTACAGCCATCTCGAGCCATATACCCTGACAAGAGACTTGTTTTCAACAGCCAGCAACAGCTGAGCACACTCTGATAAACATCTTGTTTTGCTGTTTAGTGCCGCCAGCAGCTAGGCGCATGTGGTCTCCACACTGCTATCTAGTGCATGTGGTCTCCACGCTGCTAGGCACATGACATAGGCCTTCAGCTGTGCTTGTCCATGAGGGAAAGACACGTGGTAAATGGTATAAATATCCAGGATTTCCTTTAAATAAATGAGTCTTGGTCAAACTCTGTCTTGTCTCCATTTTTCGCGTCTCTCACCCCTCCATCCCCACTCTCTCTCTTGCTAGACCCTGACCTGTGGACTGGAGCAGCAGAATGGGCTGTTACAAAGTGGCGCTCAATGTGTGGCAGCAAGAAAGAGAGACTCAGTGAGGGACATTACTGGAAGAAGGGTCTACTGAAAATTCAGAAGTGAAACAGGTGATTGCCTTGGGAAACTGCCATGTGGAGACCAGTAGGTCATAGTAATGATAATGTGGTAAGAAATAAGTCAGCCTGAACTCAGCTCTCTGTTTTTGTTTTGTTGTTTGCTTTTTAAGTGTGTAAATTGTCTGCTTTTGTTTCGCTGTTTATATGCTGTCTTTCATGTTCAAAAGAAAAAGAAAAGCATAGAATCCAAAATACGACCAAAGGTTGAAGTAATCAATTTGTCAGAGCCAGATTGTGCTGACCTAGAGGAAGAGGCAGCCAAAAATTACGACCCTGAATGACCCTCTTCCTGAATGCCCCCTCCCTATGCTCCTCCACCTCCAGATGCTCCTGCTATGGAGATGGTGGCTGTAGATCCCAGAAAAGAGTTACAGGACAAAATTTCTCTCCTTAAACAACAGATAGAGTTAGAAAATGAGTATCAGGACTTATTTAATCAGGTACAAAAATTAAAGACAGGGAAGAGGTCTCAAGAGGGCAAGGAAAATCACCCAGGTCCTCGAGTTCCTCAACCTGGAGTCCAAAGGCAGCCCCTGTCCTCTGGTTTTAGTTCAGCCACAGATCAACCAGAGGAGGGAGAGGTTGAGGTTTTCCCTGTATCGGAGACTAGAGATGCTCAAGGAGTTGCGTGCAGACATCACACAGGGTTTAATTTTCAAATTACTAAAGAATTTAAAAATTCAGTGTCACAATACGGTGCCACTGCTCCCTTTACTCTTGCAATCTTAGAGTCTGTTGCAGAGGAGTGCCTGACTCCTGGTGATTGGGATACTCTAGTGAGAGCAGTTCTTAGTGGTGGTGACCATCTTATTTGGAAATCAGAGTAGGCCTCAGTGGCCTAGCGTTCACCTATCCTGGATCATCGAGCCTCCATAGGACCAAGGGGCTCACCTCCCAGTGATATCAGATAAGGCAATCCTCTGCTATATATGTATCTGGAGACATGAGTACTCCCTGTGTACTCTTTGGTTGGTAGTTTAATCCCCTCAGAGCTTTGAGGGGGTCCTGGTTGGTTGATATTGTTGTTCTTCCTATGGGCTTACAAACCTCTTCAGCTCTTACAGTCCTTGCCCTAATGCCTTCTTCCATTTTTATCCCTTCTCTGAGTCCAATGTTTGGCTCTGTACATCCACATCTGTATTTGTCAGTTTCTGGCAGAGCCTCTCAGGGCACAACTACACCAGACTCCTGTCAGTAAGCACTTCCTGGCATCAGAAATAGTGTCTGGGTTCAGTGTCTGAAGATGGATGGATACCTGGGTGGGACAGTCCCTGGATGTCCTTTCTTTCAGTTTCTGCTCCACTCTTTGTATCTGCATTTCTTTTTGACAGGAGCAATTCTGGATTAATATTTTTGAGGTGGATGTGTGGCATCATCTCTCAACTGGGTGGCATGCCTATCGACTGTGTATGGTCTCTATAGGTTCTATCTCTCCTTTGTTGCATATTTTAGCTAAGGTCATGCTTTTTGGGTCCTGGGAATCTCTTGGGTCTCTGGCATCTGGGACTTCTAGTGGCTACTCCTGGTCCCCCTTCAACATTGCTACACACCTACTTTCAAATTCCTGACCCTATGTATTTCTTCCCTATCACCTGCCATATCTGAACTGCCCCCCCCTTGCCTTCCCTCAATTCTCTCCCTCCCAAATAACTCTCTCCCTCTACTTCCCAGAGATTATTTTCTTCCCCACACTTAGTAGTACTTTAACATCCACACTTTGGTGTGATCTTATTTGTTCTTGGGCCTCATTTGGTCTGTATGTTGTATGGTGGGTTTTCTGAGCTTATTTCCTAATATCCACTTATCAGTGAGTACATACCATGTGTGTTTTTTTGTGACTGGGTTACCTCATTCAGGAAGATATTTTCAAGTTCCATCCATTTGCCTGTAAATTTCATAAAATCATTGCTTCTAATAGCTGAGTAGTACTTCATTGTATAAATGTACCACATTTTCTGTATCCATTCCTCTGTTGAGGGACATCTGGGTTGTTTCCAGCTTCTGGCTATTATAAATAAGGCTTCTATGAACATAGTGGAACATGTGTCCATGATATATGTTGGAACAACTTTTGAGTATAGGCCCAGAAGTGGTATAGCTGAGTCCTCAGGTAGAACTATTTCCAGTTTTCTGAGGAACCACTAGACTGATTTTCAGAGTGATTGTACCAGCTTGCAATCCCAACAACAGTGGAGGAGTGTTCTTCTTTCTCCATATCCTTGCCAGCATCTGCTGTCACCTGAATTTTTGACCTTAACCATTCTGACTGATGTGAGGTGGAATCTCAGGGTTGTTTTGATTTGCATTTCCCTGATGACTAAGGATGATGAACATTTCTTTAAGTGTTTCTCAGCCATTTGTGCTTCCTCATTTGAGAATTCTCTGTTTAGCTCTGTACCCCATTTTTAATAGGGTTATTTGGTTATCTGGAGTCTAATTTCTTGAGTTCTTCGTATATTTTGGATATTATCCCTCTATCAGATGTAGAGTTGTTAAAGATCTTTTCCAAATCTGTGGATTGCCGTTTGGTCTTATTAACTCTGTCCTTTGCCTGACAGAAGCTTATCAATTTTATGAGATACTATTTGTTAATTCTTGATCTTAAAGCATAAGCCATTGGTGTTCTGTCCAGGAAATTTTCACCTGTGCCAATGATAGGTACAATTATTGTGGAAGTGATTAAAATTGAACTTTGGGGAAACATCTCCCTTTTTATTAACAAATATTACATTTTGGTTATTATATTGTCTTACTGAAGTGCACATATCAATGAGAATATGCAGTATATTTTTATGTATGAGCTAATTACAATTAGTAAAAATGACTGCAGTTTATACAGCTTTTAATTCTTTTGAAAATAGAAGGAATTTCTTTCCACTGTAAACTATGAGTTTTATTCTACTGGATTAAATACACACACACACATACACAGACCCCCCCACACACATATATATTAATATAATGTAATATTAAAGATATTTCCCATATCACTCATATCATATTATATCATATATCATTATATATAATACATCAATCATGTATCATATCAATAACATATCAATCATATGTCAAATACTTATCATATATCAATCATATATATATATATATATAATTTTACAAATATAAATGTTATTTTTTATAAACAAAATTAAAAGTGGAGTTCTAGTTACAAGAAAAGCACATCTCCTAAGGCAGGTGTGTGCTTACCAGGAACCAACCTTTCCCTGTATTAGCTCCAACATCCTCACTCTGTTTCCTCTTCTGCTATTTTGTTCTTCTTAAAATCTGCCACTCCAACCCTGACTACCAGGAGATAGTCTTCACAGTTTGACCATTAGAAAGTATTTCTTTCTGTCCTCCCCATATTCAATTTATCCATCTATCACTTCATAGCCAAATTGAGTTCATATTTCATTTGTTGTGAGAAGTTCCTATAGAGTTAAAGAAAGAAAAATGTAGGACAGTTCTTTGGTTTGCTGGACATAGATGTGTATATTGATAATCTTTCATAACATCATCTTTATAAGAATAGTAAGGAAAAGGTATAGATTTAGGAAGAAATGTTCAGTATTCATGAGAAAATGTTAGGTGCAGTGTGAAAGTAGCCGTTGTACTACATAGGAGAGAAGGTCAAAAGACAATATTTCAGAGATGGATTAATGATTCTTTTTTTAAAGATTTATTTTTATTTTATGTATGTGACTACACTGTAGTTGTCTTCAGACACACCAAAAGAGGGCATGGGATCCTATTACAGATGGCTGTAAGTCACCATGTGGTGTTTGGGAATTGAATTTGGGACCTCTAGAAGAGCAGTCAGTGCTCTTAACCACTGAGCCATCTCTCCAGCATGGATTAATGATTCTTAACAAGTAAATACTTGTGTATTTGGTGGATGTTGATACATTCAGTTAACAATATTAATGATCTTAGAGTCTTTTTTTTCTAGTTTGTACTAATAGGCTTAAAACTTTGAGCCTCCTTTTTGAGACATATAAAGCTAGAACTTCAACTTACTTGTCTTCCTTTGCTTCTGGCATAAAATGTCACTGGTCATGAGTTCCTGTTATTCACAAAATATATAATGCATTATGTAACTCCTCGGCTATGTCAGTATACATTCCACAACATCAGAATCTGGTTCCTATGTATTTTACTCTTCTATGACAAATTCCTTAATAACCTCGATTAGTGAAATCTGACATATTTTAATGACCATGGCATTTCAACTGTACCTTTCTGTGTTATGTATTGTTTAGTCTTCTCAATAGAAATACCACTTACCCTAGCAAATCCTCTTGTCAGGTCATAGAAGTCCCCTGCTAAAATCCCTACTGCGGCTTAGATCTCACTGAAGTAAAGTGTGACTTCAGATAAATCTATGTTTCAGTGTTTCTAAATCATTTTAGCAATACATGCATTTATAACAGAAACTTTTAAAAGCCCATGTTAATATTTTATGTTCAAGCAAGTAAATAAAATCTCTAAGAGCAATATTGTAATGGCTATATACTAATTGCTAATTTGTCATAACCTAAAATTACTTGAGAAGATGTATTACATTTCATTCAGAAAATGTAACTATTGAGGAATTGTGTAGCTCAGGTTAGTCTGGGTGACATGACTATAAAGGATTGTCTCGTTCATTACTTCAAGTAGGAAGACATAGAAGGACACACTAATTCATGCCTAAGAGGTGAGAAATGAATAATAGGAAAAGAAAACAAGGATCCATTGATTTCTCTTTCGGATGTGGATATAATGTATTTTAGATATTTTAGCTCCTACTTTGACTTCCATTCAATGAAAGAACCTGTAATTGTAAGCCAAAGAAACCTTTTCACACATTGCTATATTTGATCAAGCTATTTTATTACAGCAAAAGAATTGAAACTAGCATATCTGTTACATGTTTACTCCATGTAGTCAAGAATCTGCATATATGCACGATAGCTATTAATGTAAACCTTAACATTTGTAAACAACAATATCATGTCACAATGTAGGAAGTTTAGAGATTCCTATATGGTGATTCCAAAATGAATTCAAAACAGAAGATATTTGATAAAATTTCAGTGATAGGAAATGTCTGTGCTGTCTCTAACATGCTAAATGACTCTTTTCTTATAAAAGAAATAATGTTCATATATGTAATATCAAACTGTAGAGCCAGAATCCATGATGAGGTATCCAATGAGAATAAATGACTTCAGTTTGATGGAAGGCAGATTTTTTTTTGTTTTTGTTTTTTTGTTTGTTTTTTTTTGTTTTGTTTTTTTTAGTTGTTTTAGTGTCTTTACAGTGCTCTGCTTTTCAGCATGTTAGATTAAACAGGAGTTAAGCATTATATTTAGAATTGGAAATGAATGAATTTTGAGGCAATTTGAGGACTTAGAAATGGCATGACTATGTGATTATTGTTTCTGTAATACATAACCTTGCCACTAATGAAAATTCTTTGTTTGAAAAAACAAAAATAGCTAGAAGATGCTATCAAATGTAAAACATGGTCTCTCTTAATCATGATAGATTTTATCAGGCTAAAATAATTTCAGAAAAGAGTAAATTCAGACCAAAAAAAATGGTAGATTTAATAGGTAGAGAGACTCAAAATGCAGGCAGACTGCAATACTAGAAGAAGGCATAATACAATCTCCCTCAGTGTATATAAAATGTTGAGCTAAATACCAGAAGATGAGCAAGTCAGGGAAAGACTTTTCTTAAGAGATATTTATCATTCAGAAAATGTACTTATACAGTGTTTGACATCAAATACTAATAGCATTTATACATGAGTCCAAATTTGATGTGAGCAATCTGGGAATTGACGAGCATTCGGGAAACTTGTGAGAATTGTAGGTCAGATAAATGTTGGTGTCACTTGTGCTAAAGAAGTAAACTCTGAGGGAAAGATTAAAAAAGAACAGTTTGAGAAAAAAGTTGGCATTCTTAAAAATATTAATTTACTAATCTAGGGACTAACATAGACTGAAAAGGGTCTAGGTACATTTAATCTAAAATGGTACCTTGGGGAAAATGGTGATGTTATATCTAATAGCATGTGACATTCAAAGACAAGCTTCTTTTCATCTTTTTCCCATTTGCATCTTTGTATTCTACTGATCTTTCTGCTTTTTCCTTATTGTTATGGTAGGCAAAACTATTATCAGGTTCATTCAGTTTGTGTGACAAAATATGAATGGCAATGCTCATTAACCAAATAATTCTCAAATATATTCTATATTCATTGTTAACAGATCTTCAGATACCAGGGTGAAATATGGAAATAACTCAGGGCAGATAGTGCTCTTCCTCAAGTCTACTAAAATAATAAACTACTTTTCACTTTCATTCTATCTATCTATCTATCTATCTATCTATCTATCTATCTATCTATTTATCTATCCATTGAATAAATGTTTTATTTGAAGACATGTCTGTTTACCATGTGTGTGCCTGGTCCCTGTGGGGGTCAAAAGATGGAATCATATCCACTGTGATAGGATTTATAGGCAGTTATAAGCTGCCATGTGGGTGCTGATATTTGAACCAAAGTCTTCTACAAGAGCAGCCAGTGCTCCTAACCACTTGGCCAGCTCTCAGCCCCTTCTGGGTCATTTAAAAAGCAACAAGCATATGGAAAAAACTTTTAGGCAACTTATTAGAGTTTATATCAATATAAATTACAGTAATCTGGAAAAAACCACACATATTTGATAGATCTTCTCTAATCAAATTTAAAACAAAATATAATTGTCACTTTTAGTGGTCAATGTGGTTTACTTGACATGCATGATTGGATTCAGTTGATTGGCTAGATTAGTTATCGTTGAGGTCACTGTAGAATGCATAATCATAGGCTCAATTATTATATAGAGAGTAATAAGAAACACAGACTTTTACAACTAGAAAGACCATCAGGATGTAGTTAATTCAGGTCATTATGCTCCATGTGCTAGATATTGACAATTGTAGCTTTCTAGAAGGATATAACTGCGGAATGGAAAGGATGTATGAATAAGGGGCTGTAGTATGAGTCATACGCTTAGTCACATTTTGCATCTCCAGAAGAAACACATATTATTCACCAAAGGTTTAGCATCATTGCAGTTTGTCCTTAATTTTTTGGTTCAAAATAAAAATAATATTCACCTTAGGAAATCTTATGTTTCAGGAAACCTGAGATTATTGCTCATCATACCTGACCACCTGCTCCAGAAACACATGTCTACAGACCAAGATGAACACAAATAGCATGAACACAGGTAACAGAATACATTACTGCTACCAGTTGTTACTGGATAAGAATCATAAGTTCACTTTTTTCTTTGCTTAAATCTTGTGGTTTAATAGTAGTATATGCTGGGTATCATTCTACACCTTTGGATTAAGCAGGAAACACAGCAGAGGAAATCTCTGACTTCACCAAATTTGTAATCTGTATAGCAGATCACAACAATGATGATGATTTTAAAGAAGGAGGAGAAGAAGAAGGAAGGGGATAAAGATGAGTGTTAGGGGGAGGAGGAAGAAGAGGAGAAGGAAGGGGATGAAGAGGATGGTTAGCAGGAGGAGGATGGGGAGGGAGGGCAGGAGGAGTGGAAGGAGAAGCTGAAGAAGGAGAAAAGGAAATAATATAAGTAACTTAGATAGAGATCAGATGTTGATATGATATGACCATAAGTGAAGAAAAACTGCAGTGGAGAATAGTGATCATGAAAATATTGTTTTTCTAGGATGTTGTTGTCAGTGAAAATGTCTTTAATGAGACATGGCTTTATCATTTCCAAGTCCCTTTCAAAGTTTATTTAAGTTATAAGAAAATTTTCAAAGAGCATTGATATTAGATTAAAACTTATCTTGTCTGATAATTTATTTCAGTAGAATCATAAACTACAGGGACCAACATTTAAATTTCTCTCTAGTGCCTATAATTGCTATTCCAAAATTGACATTTAGTCTGTTGGGACAGTCAGTAAAGAATATCCAAAAGGATAATTAGAACCGAAAAGTCCTGTGTCAGTCACAATACAAATATTATTAGAAAGGTTACCAACCAAAGAACATGCTAGGGATGGACCTACACATTTGGAGCAGATGTGAAACATGATCTCCATGTTGGTCCCCTAACAATTGGAACAGAGGCTGTCTCTGACTCTTTTGCCTGCCACCAGATATCATTCCCATAACTGGACTGCCTGGTTGGGCCTCAGGAGGAGAGGATGCAATTAGTCCTGATACAACTGGATATCCCAGGGTGGCACACAAGGGGGAATTCCCTTTCTCTGACCAGAAGAGGAGAGGGTAATGGGATAAGGGACTTGTAAGTGTAGGATTGGGAGCAGAGGAGGGATGGGGGCAATGATAATGATGTAAAGTGAACAAATAATTAAATGAAAAAACATGTGAATTGCTTATACTAGATGTTATACTTTCTATTGAAAAATTAAAAATAACTAAAAATCATAATAGCTAACAAAGTATCTGAGAACATATTGAACATTAAAGAAATTAATTAATATATACATAGAAAATAAGTTTTACTTTAATTTTTATCTTCCTGTATAATGTTTATGTGAGTATTTACATGTATGTGTGTATGTGTGTATGTGTCTGTGTGTGCATGTGCGTGTGCATGTGTGTGTGTGTGTGTGTGTGTGTGTGATATCTTTGTGCTTAGGCTATATGCCAAAGAGTGTATCTGGAAGTAAAAGAACATTATGGAATGTCCTCTCTCCTTCCACTTTTTAAGTAAGTTCTGGAGATTTAATTCAGTCATCAGTCATGAGAGGTAAGACTTTCAACCTATGAGCCATCCAACTACATGCAAAGCTTTTCTTCTTTACATTAATATTATTTTCTCATACAGACTTTCTGTGACCTTCATATTTAAAACTGAAGTCTCTCCCACAAAATCTTTATCTTCTTTCCTGGCTACATTTTTTCCATATTAATCTCTTCCCAATATTCAAATCAACCACTATGCAATATATTTATTGTCTGGTCTATAAACAGTTCCTTATTCCACATAATCAAAGGAATTGCACCGTAATAGCTAATACTGGAGGCAGATCAGAAAAATATGACCAAAACATATTATACAAAACTTAGATTAAAAAGAAAATTCAAAATAATCTATTTTAAATGACAATATTGTATTCTGTGATTTTAAAATCCTTGGGGAAGGCAAATGTGTTGCTTTAACCTATAAGACCTAATAAGATTTTTTTTTCTCTTTTTGTATGTAAATATGACTTATTTTCACCTGATATAATTATGGTCTCACAGGCTTACTGATTAATATGCTCAACTCTATAGTTTGAACTCTGACTAACTGATTCAACTCAGCTCTTCTGGCTCAAACTTTAAGCTCCCAATTTCTCAATGAATTGCTCTGTTTGGCCTCAAAGTAAGTCTGACAATCTGTTCTGATCTTCTGACTGGCTCTGTCTCATTCTCTGACTTATTCTATCTTCACTTGTGTCTGCCTTATTCTCTCTGCACAACTGTAAAACCTAACTCTGAACTCCAAGAACAGAAGTGCCACAAACTCCACTCTACTTCCCTGCCTTTCAACTCACTGACTCAACTGAACTGACCAAACTGACCCAAGAACTGTACTCACTCACTGAATCTCAACTGACTCAACTGACTTGAACTCAGAGATCTCCATGTCACTGCCTTCTGAATGCTAATATTAAAGGCATGTACCATCATGCCTGGGCCTAAGCTTTTCTTTACCTAAAATCTCATTTATACTAGGCTGGACTTGAAATCAGAAATTTGCTTGCCTCTGTATACCAACTAGCTAGATCTCACAGGCCTAGAACTTTTTGTTTGGTTAGTTGGTTGTTTTTTGTTTTTGTTTTGTTTTTTTTGTTTGTTTTGGTGCAGCCATGTTGCTGGGTTAAAATTCCTCTGTATATGCATAAACATATGTTTCAGTCACATACTGATCTAATCCATTAACAAATTATGTTTTCCACATCTAGTGCTAATCTGGTATCTGTATAACAGTTTCTGTCTTAACATTTGTTTATCTATCTATCTATCTATCTATCAATCTATCTATCTATCTATCTATCAATCTATCTATCGATCTATCTATCATCTATCGATCTATCTATCATCTATCATCTATCATCTATCTATCTATTTATCTATCTATCTATCTATCTATCTATCTATCTATCTATCTATCTATCTGGTGTTTGTGTGTGTGTGTGTGTGTTGGTTACAGAAAGCACATTCTACCTTAGTTGGTTGCTGGAAACTAAAGTTCAGTCATGGAGAAAAGTGGTAAACATGTTTAACCACTGAGCTGTTTCTCCAAATTCCACAACTACTATAGGTAATATAAGAAATATATTTTGACTTTGTTACTGAAATTTCTTTCTAAGTGGCCTTTCTGCTTCTACTGTTGTCCTCGTGCAGTCTATGATCTCAAAGCAGCATAGTTATTCATTCATAGTATAATTTAGACAGTTAGTGACATTATATCCTTGCTCTAAATTCTCTTAAGAGTAGGTAATTTTCTTAGATTTTTGTATAAGCTCTTATTATAACCTCCCATCCCTCTTTTCTGTACTCCTTTTGTCATTGTTTATAAAATCCTGCCTACAGTGATAATATTTTCTTAGAATTTTAGTGCTGTTATTGCCTTAAGACCTTGACCTTGCTATTCCATATACATTACATATTTTCTCCATTCAAATCATTAGTGAAATGTCAAAATCAATAACCCAACTTTAAATATGCCCCTTTCCATATCTATGCTGCTTTTTATTTTTAACAGTTCAACTTCTAATACTTTATGATGAGTTTATTCACTTATTTGGTTATTGCCAAGATTCCTCACAGTGATATCAACTGTGCATGGCATAACAAAATACAGTAATACTAAGCTCATATCAAGCCTGGGCTAGGCAACCCAGTAGGAGTAAAAGGGTACCAAAAGCAGGCTAAGGAGTCAAGGACATTCTCACTTCCATTGTTAAGAATCCCTCAAAATACCAAGCTACACAACAACATCATATATACAGAGGACTTAGTGGAGACACATGCAGGCTCCATGGCCTGTTCTTTTCTGATGGGAAACAAAGAAGCAGTCTATCTGTGAACAGAGCCCTGTAAATTGTTGAAATATCCAACAGCTTCATACAATATATCATAAATAAGCCATTGTCTCTCTAAAATTTTCCGTGTCCTGTATTTTAGCCCTGAAACAGCAGCGATAACTGAATCTTCTTCAATATTTTCATAACCCTCAAGGTTTAATTTTCTTAAAGTCTGTCATACAGCACGGAAATATTTCTGTCTAGACTTTTAATTTTCAAATAAAGTAACTGAGAATAATTCACCACAGAGTTGGCACATAGTAGGTATACAATAAATGCTTCTCTGTACAGTAAATACCTATTACTATCTAGTCCACCATTGTTAGCTACACAAAAATGGATTTTAAAGCTATGCAAGCAAATGAATCAGGACAGTTTTTCAAACATTGCTGAACCAAGTGTGCTTTGCATAAAAGACTAATTTTCAAAAGGTAATTTTCTTGCTTTATTCATGTCAGTTTTCTAAAGATGATAATGCCAAAGCTTTGAACTTTGTAGATGCCAGATGAACTGGGTCTGTGCCATATGAAAGTTCTTTGATGAATTTTAAAATGGTACTAGATAAAATATTGACATGCAACTTTTGGCATGGGAATTGAAAAGTAATTTAGAAAGAAAACAAGTTAAGTCTATTCCCCATTGATATTTAATGATGTTTTCACCTCCTCATAAGCCCGAACACATTAGCACATTTTATCTTCTTTCATGTCCCTCTTAGTGTACTTTCTTATCCTTGTTTCTGTGAATCTCAAGAGAGAATTTTCTAGTCTCCTATAGTGTTATTGTCTAGTAAAATAACTGCTCTGAGCATAATTGTGTTATTTTCTTAAAGGTAAACAGTTGTTAAAATTCAGCATTTAGTTGGATAATTAGAATTTTAAGGAAACATTGCAGCAATTTCCTTAGTATAAACAACTGTCCTTAAAATTATACTCCCCAATCTTATTTTTACTATTCATGACATTTAGTTCCAGGCAGAGCCATTATTATGAGTTGTTAGTTTACAAAGAAGTGTGGTGAAAGGCTTGATCATCAGAGAACATTACTAATTCATAATGCAGTATTACTGAGTATCTCCAAGTATATTCTCACAATCTATTACCCAGAATAACCATAATGAAAAGGAGGATATTCTGGGAACATTCTGT